GACTAGGTTGGCAGGGAGGGGGCAGTTGGGGGCAACCTGGATGGCAGCAGGGGGCAGTTAGGGGCAACCAGGCCGGCAGGGGGGATAGTTAGGGGCAATCAGGCCAGCATGCAGAGGCAGTAAGGGGTGATCAGGTTGGCAGGGGTGGGGGGGCAGTTAGGGGCGACCAGGCAGGCAGGCAAGTGAGCGATTAGGAGCCAGCAGTCCAGGATTGTGAGGGGGATGTCCGACTGCTGGCCCTGGGATCAGGCCTAAACTGGCAGTCGGACATCCCCCAAGGGGTCCCAGATTGGAGAGGGTTCAGGCTGGGCTGAGGGGGCTTTTTTTTTACCCCCATGCACAAATTTCATGCACCAGGCCTCTAGTATTAAATAAATAGATAGAAAGTAGGAAAACCCACTTTCTACTTTTGACTTTGGAGGAGACCTTGCTGGATACCTCCCTTTAACATTGAATTAAAATGGTAGTGTGGAGGTGTAGACTGGGAAGTCAGGAAAGAACCTGAATACTTTGGCTTCTCTGCTTAATGGAAAGGTTCCAGAAGATTCTACATGTCTTGTGGGTTAAGAGCTTGCAGACCTGGTATGAGACTACTGTGGGGAGGGACAAGAGGTTCAATGGAAGAGCATCCCAAGTAAAATTAATTTTATTTCTTTAACAGGTGTATATAGGTCTACTCCTCTGTAACTAACATTATTAGGAGTACCTACCTAATTGTTACAGCTGATCACTCATTCTATACTCAGGTTGTTCTAAACACATGCTACCATGTATGTTTATCTGCCTTTTTATTTATATTTCCTGCTTCCCTGGGTAGAATTCTGCAAGCTACAGTGTTTTCCTGGTCCTCTGCTAGCCAAGTTTACAAAATGCTCTTAAAACCATTCTCTGCTCTCCCAGGAAGTTGGCCCCAGGGGCTACTCCATAACAGGTTTCCTTTCAATCATGCCATTGCTTTAGGGCACGGGTCCTCAAACTACGGCCCGCGGGCCACATGCAAATACAAATATTGTATTTGTTCCCGTTTTGTTTTTCTACTTCAAAATAAGATATGTGCAGTGTGCATAGGAATTTGTTCGTAATTTTTTTTTCAACTATAGTCCGGCCCTCCAACGGTCTGAGGGACAGTGAACTGGCCCCCTGTTTAAAAAGTTTGAGGATCCCTGCTTTAGGGGATCTTCCCATGCTCTGCCTCTTAACCCTACTTGGCTCTTCTTACTTCTAACCCTTTGAATTAATTTTTTAATCTGTCACTTTGCTCTTTAAGTTTTGGATTTTTCTTTGTTTCTGCCCATCCCTCATCAAACTCCAATTCTCTTTTGGCCCAGGTCCCAATGGGTATAGGTCAGTCTGGCCAATTTCAGTGGTCATCCCTACTCCCACAGCACCACCACTCACACAGCCCCATCCAGGGTATATCACATGGAAGTATTTTCTTCACCTACTAGATACTCAATGTCTGATGTTTATGCTGCAGCAGGACAATTCTTTCTGGTAGCACTTTTAGAAAAGTCTTAACTAGCAAATACATGCATAGATTTTAATTTCTGGGAATATTTCAGTAGAAAATGGATATGTTGATCCTCAAAATACCTTTGCAACTCTATCATATACTTCCATAGCCATGATCCATTTACACAGACCCTCAGCTGCAGAAGAAGCCTTAGCAATCTTAGGGGGGTCAAATTCAGGGTTTGTTAAATAGTCACCACGAATCTTCTGCATAACATTCACCTACAAAACAAAGATTTAGATCAGATCTTAAAGTTTCAACATATATCACACAATTATGAGGTGAAAAATAATCACGCATAGTAAAAAAATTTTGTATAAAAAAGTTATGTTGTCTTTAAAAACCAGTCAGTACTTTGAGATAATTTTAAAATAAGCATAATTATAGCTGAAATATAAGTCATTTTTGAGCAAAATATGCAAACTTGTTATAGATATTGAGGGAAAATATTTCTTCTAAAAAAATTAAAAGACTTTTGCGGATGAAGAAAACATGAAGACAAGAAGAAAGGACAATTAAATATTAATAAATAAACAAGGGTACAGATGGAAAAGAATGATTTATACTTTATCTTTCATAAATTTGTGTATCTGATTAATAAACTATTATATGAAAACTCTTAAGGAACTTTTACACTAAAACAGTAAATTATTAAATGACTTACAGTGGTTGGCAACAAGAGTGGGTCTATGCATTATGAGAATTCATAAAATAGTAACAAATGGAATGTCCCTTTATTATTTTAATCCAAAATGGAATATCTCCTTATGTTTTATACTAGAGGCCCAATGCACGAAATTCGTGCAAGGGCCTTGGCCCCGGCCCCCGCCTGCTGCTGCCGTGGCCGGGGGGCCTCTGCTGCCCCTGCCTCGGCCTCCACCCGCCGTGGCTTTGTCCGGAAGGACGTCCGGTCTAATTAGCATATTATGCTTTTATTATTATAGATAGTATCACATAATATTAAAGATCTTATACATCTCAGCAAAGTTACATTTAGTAAAAAAAATTCAATGAAACTCACTGGAATGTTGTCCTTGTCATATTCTTTCAAATCTCTTAAGAAATTCATATCTCCCAGAAGTTTTTTGCTAGGACCCCAGTAATCAAATATCTATAAATAAAATTTTGCAAACTTATTAAATGTATAATTAAAGATGGTTTCTATAAGATTTTTCTTCTTGAAGTTTAAGATATACTTTCCAGAAAAACTATATACTGTGAAAATATTAACTTTTGTCTTCTTGGAAATAAAAGATTCCTCTCCCCAAGATCATGTTATACATATCAAATGTTTAAAATATGAACATGAAATTACACATTAAATTTATTATAAAAATTAAACATTGAAAGAGAAATGGTATGTGGTGTGTGAGTGTGTGTGTGTCAATGAAAATAACTTGGTTAGGTAAGAGCCTATTTATTTTCTTTATTATCTCAAAGAAGGATAGAATGACCAAAAAAATAATCTCAATCCTCCAATTCAGGGATTCTAACCTAAGTATAAAAACCTAAAAAGAAAATAAGTCTATAACTTTACTTTAGGATGGATGCAATACCTTCCTTTTTTAAGGGATATAGCCTTGAATAATAAATGATCTATAACAGCTAATTTGTATTGTGAGCTTACTGTTTGTGAAGATTTATATATAAGAGCTTTATATGTATTAACTAATCTAATTCTCATTAATTTTATGAGGCAAGTACTATGATAACCCTCTTTTTTCCCTTTCATGTATTTATTTTTTAATAACTCTCTTTGTACAGTTTCACAGAGATTAAGCATATTGCTGAAGATCACATTACTGATGGGAGTGAGATTCCTGAAGACAGGCATTCTGGCTCCAGAGCACATGCTTTTAACAACCTCACTAAACTGTAACACAGCAGAATTTTGAATACCCAGAAACAACACCAATGTGGTTATACTATATATCAGATTCCTGAGAATCCTTGCTGGAAAAGCACAAGAATCCCAGTGCTCATTCAATCCCAACCCCATGAGAGTGAGGAACCCTACATAGGCAGAAAAGGAGATGGAATCAATTAGATCCACATTTTTCTGATGCTATACTGCCTTAGCTTTGCTCTGGAATAAATATAGATAATGTTTTCCATAATTTATTCTGAATCCATTTAATCTGGAAGACAATGTTTCTTCCCTGGACTGAGTACTGTTGACATTTAACCTGACAGTAGTTGCTATAAAGTATTCTGTACATTCATGCACATGATTTAAATCTGTGTCTAGTTATTACCTTTCCTCCAGTTCCTGAAGGATCTGTAATTTTTTCTGGTTTTATATCTTTCATGACACAAATAGCAGCCATAACTAGCTTAACACCAGATGGAGGATTCTTCATTGATTTCACAATTGTAATGTCAGCTGGCTAAATCGAAAGAAAACAGGATATCTTCAGAATAGTTTATTTCTAAATAGTAAGCTTTTAAAATAATATTGGAGAAACGCATCAATTTTCATTTGAAATTGTAATTGTTTTTTGCTTTGCATCACTATAATAAGCAATAGAGAATTTAGCACAGATTAACAGCAATGGTTTTCAAACATCTGGAAGATCATAGATCCTTATGAGAATATTATGACAGCTATAAACCTTCCAGAAAAAATATATTTTTGCACATAAACACAAAATTTGTATGTAATCACACACCAAGCCCATACATGGAACCCAGGTTAAGAACCCTAGTTTAGACAAAGACTTAATTCTATATTTTCTTATATGTAACTAGAGGCCCAATGCATGAAATCATGCAAGAGTATGCCTTCCTTTCCCCAGCTGCTGGCACCGGCTTCCCTCTGGCACCCGGGACCTGGGCTTCCCTCACAGCCCCGGCTTTGTCCAGAAGGTTGTCCAGTAGGACGTCCAATCTAAATAGCATATAATGCTTTTATTATTATAGCTATTAGAGGCCTGGTGCACAAATTCGTGCACCAGTGGGGTCCCTCGGCCTGGCCTGCGTGATTGGGCCGAAATCAACTTTCCGACATTCCCCAAGGGGTGCTGGATAGTGAGAGGGTGCAGGCCAGGCTGAGGGACCCCACCACTGCACGATCGGGGCTGGGGAAGGATGCAGGAGGTTGGCCAGCTGGGGAGGGACAGTGGGTGGGCTCCAAGGCATGTCCAGCCCGTCTCACTCAGTCCCTTAGCTGGACCCCAGCAGCAAGCTAACCAACCAGTTGGAGTTTAGCCTGGACCCCAGCAGCAAGCTAACCAACTAGTTGGAGTGTCTGCCCCCTGATGGTCAGTGCACATCAGAGTGACTGGTCAACTGGTCAATGTCTGCCCCCTGGTGGTCAGTGCACATCATAGCAACTGGTCAACTGGTCGACTGTCTGCCCCCTAGTAGTGCACATCATAGTGAGTGGTTGAGTAGCCTTAGCACATCATTAGCATATTATGCTTTGATTGGTTGAACGGATGACTGGACACTTAACATATTAGGCTTTTATTATATAGGATTAGTTTTAACTCCCCCCAAAATGTAAGAAGAGGTAGGTCCCAATTCCAAACTTATTTTTTAAAAAGGTATATATTGTTATGACAGATACGATAGATTCACTTACTTAATATCCACTCCAATATCCTCTGACCTCTCTTGCAATTGTTAGAAAGCTAACAACTATATATTTTAGTTTCCCATGCAACTAGAGTTGTGAGAGGTCATTAGGTTCCACCATCAGATCACTTGAATGATAAAAGAACTCAGAATGAGTAAGTGGGGAAATGGGCAGAGTGTGAGACATCTATTTTGCCCACATGGATTATAGTAGAGATGGTGTAGCTCTGTAGGAAGGCTCTGTAAGCTTTTGACTCAGAGAGTCCTCTGGTAGACTATTTCTGCAATTGGGCTTTGAATCATTCCTGACAGCTTAGCCTATGATCTGTTTCTTCAGCTCTTCCAACAATTCTATAATCCATTTGTAAAATTCCCAAAAGAGTACTATTTGCTTATACTAAATAGAGTCAATTCTCATCTCTGCAACTGAACCCTAAGTCATATCAAATACAGTATTTGACACCAAGAATGGTGCAAGCAACAAACTCACAATGAAAGGAGAACCTAATATTGATTAAATCCAATAGCTGGAGGGGTTTGAAAACATTAAGAATCCTGTGAGTTTCAGAGAATGGAGTACTGAATGTCCATGATACACAGTGATAAAATAGTTACTTAGATTAATGCTCATGATCATCTACAATGGAATGCTAATTAAAAACAAGGCTTTGTCAGAATGACTGACTGCTGTGATAAATGTCTAAGGAGAAAATGAAGAAAGACCACTAGGTAGAATGTGGCCTTTAAATGTGCCAGAGAGCAGACAGGAAGAAAATAAGCTCAGGGTTTTTAATTCCTGACTCACAGCACAGTGAGAGCACTAGGACATTTCTATAAATGCCCTGAAATAATCTCATGTCTTGCCTGGCTGGCGTGCCTCAGTAGTGAGCATCGACCTATGAACCAGGAGGTCACAGTTCGATTCCCAGTTGAGGCGCTTGCCTGGGTTGCAGGCTTGATCCCCAGTGTGGGGCGTGCAGGAGGCAGCTGATCAATGATTCTCTCTCATCACTGATGTTTCTATCTCTCTCCCTTCCTCTCTGAAATCAATAAAAATAAATAATAATCATCTCATATCTTAAAACTACAAGGCTGATCTTAACTGAAAATCAGATAGAATTTGGTCCTGTGAGATGCTGAATTACCCCTACGTTGAACTCATCATCTTGTCAGGTCACTTACATTAAAGTTAGGGCACTGATTAGAAAAAAAGGCAAGTACATAAATTTGGTTTTAATGTAAAAACTCACTACATTATTCTTTGTATTAATTTGCTATGGATATTGAAAACATTTTTTACACATTGGTAGTGGCTTATGGATTGTGGTCAGGCCAAGTAGGTCTAAATTTTCTCACTAATTCACTTAATAAATACTTAGAGCCCTAGCCGGTGTGGTTGAGTGGTTAGAGTGTCATCCCACACCAGAGGGTTGAGGGTTCGATTCCCAGTCAAAGGCATGTACCTGGGTTGCAGGTTCGATCCCCAGACCTTTAGTATTTCTTTAATATAAGCAAAGCAAAAATAGAAATACTTTTACCATAAATCCTTTAATTATTCTTTCCTATTGATTACAAAGGTTAAATGAATAAACAGCCTGAATCTCTGCCTAAAGTTTTAAAAAATTTTGCAATGTCTAAGAATTGCTTTTTTTTTTAAATTGGATACAAGCATTTTATGGCTTTGGGCCAACAGAAGCATAAGTTGTTAGTGTGTTTTGTTTTTTTTTTAGTAGTAATTTATCTTTTTAAAAATTTTTTTATAGATTTTAGAGAGGAAGGGAGAGGGAGAGAGAGGGATAGAAACATCAATGATGAGAGAGAAACATTCATCGGCTGCCTCCTGCATGTCCCCTACTGGGGATCGAGCCTGCAACCCAGGCATGTGTCCTTGAGTGGAATCGAACCTGGGACCTTTTAGTCCACAGGCTGACGCTTTATCCACTGAGCTAAACCAGCTAGGACTAGTAGTAATTTAAATAGATTTTTGTATTAGATCTGAAAATGTTGCCTTTTTAATTAAAAAGTTATCAATATTTAAATTGTTAGCCTTAGGTTGCTAATTTTATGTATGTCATGACAGTGACATACAGTGGGTTTTGATACATGTAACACATGGAATATCGCATTGTGGTAAGAATTTGTCATAACAATAGATTGTTGTGTGCTGTTTAAATAATAACCAACATATCAAACCAAAGTATTGCCATACATTAGTACCATTTTATGTAAGTTATTTAGAAGTTGCATTCTTTTCTTCATTGGATATATTTTTATGACTAATGAGAAGAAAACAAAGCTATAATAAATTGTCTTTTAAGAAAATTTAAAGTAATTTGGTCTCTGAGGAGATATTTAATGTATTGAGAGAATTCAACAGGCAAGTGTTATTTCAGCACCATTTGTGATAGCTCTCTGTGTTTTGTTACGAGTTTGTGTTAATCAACAATCTGTTTTTATAGCATAGTTTCTTGTAAGTTATGTTGCTAGAATATTCCACTTGTGGGATCATGGCTTTTTCTCTGACACTATTGTATCTTTTTAATTCTTCCATAAATTGTTGTTTTAATTAGAAAAAAAAGAAGGCAAAGAGTGGTCTGAATATACTGAACCACCATACACTGGGCCTCCCTAGTCAACATAAGCTATCTTTCCTGCTCCCTTTGATGAGGTTGTTCTGGTCTTGCCTAAAGTCTTATAAAGCTCTGGCCAGATAGTTCAGTTGGTTAGAGCATCACACGCCAAGGTTGTGGGTTTGATCCCCAGTCAAGGTTGTAGGTTTAATCCTCAGGGCACATACATGAATCAACCAGTGAATACATAAATAAATGGAACAAACTGACCTCTCTCTCATCACTAAAAAAAAGAGATACTATATGAAGTCATATACAACACAGTGTAATGCAGATAGGTGCCACCCACATCTGTATGGAGATCTTTAAGTTCTTCTGTACACACATGCTCAAGAGGCTGCAGAAGGGTAGCTCCACACTATCTATATATATAAAAGCCTAAGCAACCATTCTATTGTTCGAATGGTCAACCAATCACTATGACGCGCACTGATCACCAAGGGGAAGACGCTCAACATACAGGATTGGGCTCCCTCCTGTCTGGATCAGGCCTGTGGGTACTGGGCCAAAACTGGCTATCCGACATCCCCCGAGGGGTCCTGGGCCAGGCCGAGGGACCCCACTAGTGCACGAATCCATGCACTGGGCCTCTGGTTTAACATATGCCTCCTGGTCCATGTACAGAACAACTTTGGCCTCTTGGAGTCTGTTCCATTTTCATTGGAATATCCTGAATGAAAATTATAAATAATATATGAAAAGCAAAAAATAATATAATATATCAAAGAGGAGCTGTTAAGAGTCAAGTTCCAGCCCTGGCTGGGTGGCTTAGTTGGTTAGAATGTAGTCCCATACACCAAAAAGGTTGTGGGTTCGATTCCTGGTTGGGCCTCGTATGGGAAGCAACTGAGATGTTTCTATCTCATATTTCTCTCTCTCTCTCTCTCTCTCTCTCTCTCTCTCTCTCTCTCTCCCCCTTCCTCAATCTCTTTTTAAAAAATCCATAAAAACATATCCTCAGGTAAGGATTTTTTTAAAAAGTCAAGTTCAATTTGACTGGACAAAAACAATATAATATCATCCACTGAAATAAAACTACTCCTAATTAACTAAGTAGCTGTACACAATTTTACTTTATTGGTGAAACATAAGGTAACTAATGCAAACGCTTGCCTTTAGTGTATCCAGTGCAGAAAGAGCTGCTTCCAAGGCTGGAATTGCCTCAGCTAAGTCACTTTCACACTCATTTTTCAGAAGCTGGGCTTCTTCAGCCTTTCCACTGGCTACCTCTTCATCTAATTTCACAAACTTTCTTTTTGCTTCTACTTGTGCAGACTCTATCTCAATAACCTAAAGAAAAAAATAAAGACAGTTCCTCAAGCATTGTATTGCTTTCTTCCTTCTGGATATAAAAGAATGTTTGAAAAGAAGGGAATTTTGAAGGATAGAAGAGCCCAAGATAAAATGAGGAGAAATGCAAATACATGTAACCTAATTTGGTAATGGTCTTCCCACTTTTCTTCAAAAATGAATGAAAGAAACCCAAAGAGATAGCCAATAAAGAGAAAAGGGTAAAGTCCCTAAGATCTAGTGGCAAAAATTGAGGCTTATTTTCTTTTTTTAAATTTATCTTTATTGTTGAAAAGTATTACAGATGTTCCCCTCCCTCCCCCATTGACCCCCTTCACCCTGCTCCTGCCCCCTCAGCGTTATTTAGAACTAGAGGCTCTGTGCACAAAAATTTGTGCCCTCGGGGGGGTCCTTCAGCCCAGCCTGTGCCCTCTCGCAGTCTGGGACCCCTCAGGGGATGACCACCTGCTGGCTTAGGCCCGCTCCCTGGGGGATTAGGC